ACTATGGTGGTGGCACAGGGGTGATTTGGTGATGGGAAACCCGTGGGGATTACAATTGAGATGAAAAAAAAAAGTGAAAATGATGTAAAAATAAACTTTTTAATAAAAAAAAAAAAAGCAACATGCTTTCCTCAAAATCAAAGCAAAACAGAGGTCATAAGCAAAATAGGAAGAAAATGGCAAATCAGGAAAAGCACTTTCACCGGCACCAAAACAGAAGGCGCGGACACGAGACAGGCAGCTTCTAAGCATTAAGGTGACGACTTATGTGGGTTTTAAAAAACAGTCAAAAAGCACAAATATAAGGCCCTCCCTGGTGGGCAACAGGCTAAAACGCAGCACTCTGAAAAACACAGCTGCTGCAGAGTGAGTTCCGTCCCAGGCCAGGGAGTGACCACAGGGCGCGGCAGACCTCTCCTGACCCGCCCGCTGCTCCCCTCAGCAGTGTACTTCATTGGTCGGCCTGTTCTGCTCCCCACTCTGTCTCCGGTGAGTCCTCTCACCGCCCCTGTGCCTCTGGCCTGTACCCCAGCTCTGTATGCACAAATAAACCTTAAAAAAAAAAAAAATACAGAAGCCAAAGTGAGAAACAGATGCCTTCGGCACCAGGAGCGGCACACGGCTCACGAGACCACGGCTCCCAGGCGAGGGAGACCTGCAGGGCAGAGCCTGCCGCCACAGGGCTCACGACTGGAGCCGCCTACAGCCTTGTGTTTTCAAGATGAATCCATGGAGGAATAAACCAACATGGCGGTCACTGAAGGGGCCTCTTTGCAGTCCGGTTTTGGATTACGGTAAGTACTTTCTATCTATGAAAACAACCAAATCCAGTAAAAAACTAACCATGTCACTAAGAAACATTGCCGGAGTCTGGCAGCTTACAGTTTTAACTTACCTGTATCTGTTCTAAATTTTTCTTCCATCTTTTTCTTCAAAATTTCCATTTCTTCTAATAATTCTCTATTTTTGGCTTCAGAATCCTTTAGTTTACTGAAATGAAAAGTGCGCGCACTGAGACCAGGCCACACTGGCTCAGGCATGTGAGGTTAAGGATGACTCTGCCCTGAGCTGAGTGGACACCCAGGCTGCCGGGCCACGTGGCCTGGCCTCCACTCCAGCTCCCGTGGGGGGCCGTTCGTGGTTGGAAACAAACATAATGTCCGGTTGTGCTTTCTGGAGGTGTCTGCCTGATGCCCGGCGGTGTTGCGGACAGTCCTACCCCTCTGGTCCACAGCCAGTCGTTCAGCCGTTGGGCCCATAAGCATCTTTCCCACGACCTGCAAGAGGTGGGGGCCGAATGTGGCCCTGCCACCCTGTGTGCCCGTGGAGGGTCAGAGTCCAGCCAGGCGGCACAGGGACCTGGGTGGGGTCAGGCCAGTCTGTGAGACAGGGACACTGGGGCCACCTGCCTCGCAGGGCCAGCAAGGCTCACAGCTGTTAAAAGAACACGTGCACAGCAGTTCCCGACACAGGTGCCTGCTCAGACTCAGATCATCACCACGCCGAGTCCAGACCCGGTGGGGCTAGGGGTGCTGGGGGCACCCCTTCCTGGCAGGTGCTGGGCCTCGCCCTGGGCTTCCACACCCCAGCTGCCCCTGCGGGCGCAGGCCCTGTCTTGGGGCTGTGTCGTGGGCCCGAGAGCACGGGAAGCCACGTACAGACAGCAGCCTCACCTCGCGAGGAGGCTCGTTCACCCCGACAGCCTCTCTCCGGTTGGAAGGAAGCCCTCGGCTGGCGGCCGTCCTGTCCAGGAGGTGCGGAGCTGGGCCGAGCCGCCCGCACACGTGTGGCAACACACCAGGGCCGGCTCGCCGGGCACCCGCAGCTACAGATGCCCCGGCGCCTGGCCACACGGCTCCTGTACCTTTCAAAGGAGAGGTTGGCGTCTTTGACTTTCCTCAGCTCCTCCTGAACCACCTGCTTGGCCCGGATCTCGGCCTCGAGCGCAGACTGCAGCTCCAGCCGGGCGGACATGTCCAGCTTCTGGCTCCGGCGAACCTTCCAAAGGGGGTCCTGACGAGAGAGGCCCAGTGTCAGCGCTGCAGAGCTATTTAATGAAACCCATGCCAGACAATAAATCAGCTTTCTCAACCTTAGACGTTTAAACGTCGACCCTGGGAGCTACCCAGGCTACTGCGCCAGGGGTTAGATGTGACTTTTACCTTCCTTCAGTCTCCGGGGGCTGAAGCTTACTTGTGCCGGTGACAACAGCACGCCCCTCTGCCCGTGGCCCGTCGGGGACCCGCAGGCTTTGGGAGGTACGAGAGCAGCCCGGAGGTGCCAGCCTCACAGGTGCTTCTTAGAAAGATTTCCCTGGACACAGCCGAGAACGCCCTGCTGTCCACGCAGCGGAGAAGCCCCACGCAGGCCTCGGGACGCCTGACGGCAGCGGGCTGTGTCTAGACACCAACGAACACGCGACACGGACGCCACGAGGAAACCTGGTGGCCCGGACGTGACGTCAGGACACGTCCCCGCGCCGAGGGCTGCCATGCAGCGCAGAGCGAGACCCCCCGCCCCGCCGGAGGAGCTGTTAAACCTGACCGCGGGCGTCAGGAGGTTTGGGCGTCCACTTGCTGCAGCCAGAGCCTGGGGACGCCACGCCGGCCTGGGAGCGGGCGCCACCCTAGTGGCACTGGCGGCCCCGAGGCCGACCCAAAAGCGTCTTCGCATCCTGCAGCGAGGCCGCGCGGCGCGTGTCCCCGGGCGCTCCGGGCGGCGGTGCCGCTCCTCGTGAGCGGGAGCACGGCCCGGGCCTACTGCGGACCGCGACCGAGGAAGGCTGCCCGGGAGACCTTGCCTTGGCCCCGGGCACCACCAAGTGACTGGCGTGCGCGTTTTTGAAAGGGTCAGCCGGGCCCAGAGACCGGCCGGGACCGTGACGCTGAGCAGCCGCAGCCAGGTCCACGCCTGGCCGTCGACGCGCAGAGCCCAGCTGAACGGCCACCGCACTCGCGAGACCCTCCCAGGGCAGGGCCCTCCCGTGCGACACACGCAGCCCCGGCGGCCCACCCACCAGCGTCCGGGAGCCCAGGCTGCAGCTCCGCAGAGTCTCGAGCTCTTCGGTCATCTTGGAAGCGAGAGCCTGGAGGTAGCCCCGGGCGTCCTTCTCGTCACTGACCCTGGCGGGGCAGAGGCCGAGCAGTGAGGCGCCTTCCTGGCCACCCACACCCCGCCCGGCCTGGCCCTCACCCCTCTCACTAGTGGAGGCCGCTGCCCAGCCACCCGCGGGGTCGCCTGTCCAGCGCCTTTGGCGAGGCTCTGCCTCCACCCAGGCAGCGGGCTGCCGTCTGACCCCTCCAGAGACACCGCCAGCCCAGCAGGGGAGCCCTGGGCACTGGCCTGGGCACACGGGCTCGGCGGGGTGGGCGGGGGGCTGCGCGCTGCACGCACCACTGGATGATCTCGGCGATCTGGGCCTCCCAGTGCGCCACCGACTCCCTCTTGGCGGCCAGGTCCTGCAGCTCGTCCTCCAGCCGCCTGTTCTGGGCCGTGAGCTCATCCACAGAGGAGCAGAGCTGCAACGAACAACAGTGCCACCATGAGGCCTGGCGTCACCGCCGAGGGCGCGGCTCTCGGGGACTCAGCAGGCTCCGGATCACTGTGAGCTTTGTCCAAACTAGTTTCGGATACGGACACTTTGGTGGGGATGTTCCCTGAGCGACAAGCATCCCACTTAAAGTCGAAGGTCCAGCGCCTTACTTCACTTCTAAGTTTAAACATGAAACGTCAAGGCTCTGCGGACACCTCGCCCCCCGCGGAGCGGCGGCCCCCGTCACCCTTTCGTTCTCAGCGGTCAGCTTCTTGTTGTCCTCGGACAGCATCGCCCGCTCTCGCTCGTACTTGTCCCTCACCGCGCCCACGGCCTCCTCCATCTCGCTGTGCCTGGGGAGGGACGGGTCTCAGGTGCGGCCCCGCACGGCCCCGGGGTGCCCGGCCGGCCCAGGGCGCGGACTCACCGCTCCCGCCGGCACTTCTCCAGCTTGTCGGTCAGCATCAGGACCTCCCTCTGCAGGCCCAGCTGGTGGCTCTCGGAGTCCTGCGCCTCCTTCCTCACGCTTCTCACCTCCAGGGCGTGGGAGGCCTCGCGCCGCACCAGCTCTTCTTCATAAAACAGGACTTTCTTCTCCAGCTCAGACTTTATTTTGGAAATCTCCTGCTGATGTTCTAAGGCAGAGCCTGGCCCACGGCCTCCTTGCTTCACCTGAAGGGGAAGGATGAGGGAACTGGCCGACTCCGCGCCCCCAGGCCCGGCGCCGCAGCTCCACCGCCTCGTGCAGGCGCGGCCAGGGGCGGGTCTCGCTGAAGGACACACTCGGCTCTGTCTGGCGCTGGACGAGCGCACTCCTCAGGGCCAGCCTGCCCTCACGTGGGGCAGCATCCTTGGGGCGCCCGACTGCCGGGTGCCCTCTTGGCCCCTGGTCAAGGCGGGGCCCACACTGAGGGAGCGAGGAGGGGTGGCCAAGTTGTGTGCATGGGACGCCAGCAGGGGACAAGCAGCAGGGTGAGGTCGGAGGGGCCCAGGGCTGGAGGCATCCCAGGGACCGGAGGGGTGGGCAGGGAGGCCCTGGCTGAGGGACCGTGGGGTCGGACTCGTCTAACAAGCTCACTCTGAAGAGGGTGGCGGGGCCACAGCAGGCAGCCCAGCGGTGAGGAGAGAAGGGCCTCAAGGGCCCCAGGTAGGGCAGGAGGCCCCCAGCGGCCAGGTGTGAGATGCAGGGAGCTGGACTCCTCCCCTCTCCACCATGGGGAGCAGCCCAGCCGCCAAGGGGCCCCAACTCCAGGCCCGCGAGCAGCCTCCCGCCTCCCGGCGGCAGCAGGACACAGCTCTCCGGGGCTTCCCCGGCACCGACTCCACTCACTCTAAGAACCAGACCTGTGGGAGCCGTAGGGTCAGTTTACTGGGCCTTCTAGAAAGGCCCGAAGCCTTCATGTGAGGAAAGAAGGTTCAAAGGTGCAGAGCACCATGGGCCCCACCACCTCGGACCCAGAGTCTGTCTTGGGGCAACCGCCCCCAGGCCCAGGCTCACACAGCTTCCACCAGCTCCTCGTTGGGCATGACAGGCTCCCTCGGTTAAGAACACAGACCCTGACCATGCACTACCTTGAGGGCCTCAAGCTCACTTTCCATTTGCTTGGAGAAGTTCTCGCTGTGCTCACGAAGCTTGCGCTCCCTGGAGGCCTCGGCCATGGCGGCCTCAAGCTGGGCTTCCAGCTGCAAGAGGGCACATCCACCATTATCCGACAGCCAGGCCGCCACCCGTCGCCCCTCACCCTAAGGCACGCAGCCAGCAGTCTTGCTCGAAGCCCTCCGCGTTAAAGGGGATACATTTCAGGGCCAGTTAGTACCAGCTGAAATGCTGGTTTAAACTGATGGCAGATTAAACTCCGAGAAGACTGCCTTGCGAAAGCAGGTACCCCTGGACTCAGGTCTTTAAACAGAAAGCCTCAACCAGCAGAGGAGAGGAGTGAGGGCCGCCTGGACAGCCTGGGCCGGCGACGCCCTACTGCCGCCAGGCGGGCAGGCACGTGGTGGCCCGCGGGGCTCAGAAAGGGCCCTCTCCCGCAGCCACAACCGGCCCAACCGCACGCGTGTCTGCACTGCCGGCAAACTAAGAAAACAGCCACCCTGAGGCCCCAGACAGACCCTGACTGCGTGGGCCTGGGCACCCCTTCCGGGCCCCAGCTGCAGGCAAACAGACCCCATCACCGCGTCCCATGGGGTGCTCGTGAATGCACTTTCCGCTAATAGGAGAACGCCCGGGTCTCCACGCTGGAAGCCCGAGGCCCTCCCTGCCAGGCACCAGCCCTGGGTCGGCCTTTCTTACACTCCTTATTCAACACAGCGCCCCACTAGCCTGGCCTCCAGAGCAGGTGTGGGGGTCTGGGTCTTTGCTAGCAACTGAGTTACTGAAATACAAAGGGTAAAGAGGCATTTTGGGGGGCCCTCCCTGGTGGCGCAACAGGTCAGGACGCAGCCCTGCAAGCCAGCCGCAGCCACTTCCCCCAGGGCGCGGCAGACCTCTCCTGACCGCCTGCGGCCCCCCCAGCAGTGCTTCGTCAGTCAGCCTGTTCTGCTCCCCGCTCTGTCTCTGAGGAATCTGTTCACTGCCCCTGCACCTCTGGCCTACACCCCAGTTGTGTGTGCATTTTAAAAATTTTTTAAAATTTTTTAAAAATGGCATTTTTTTGTTCTAAAAAAGTTACTTTTCATGAAAAATGTTTAGTTAACATCATGAGCTCACGTCCACAGCCCCTCCGTCTGGCAGCGGAGGATGGCCGGAGGCCGCAGAGGCAGAGGTGAGCCGGGCCGAGGCCGCCAGGGCAGGGCGGGCCCCAGGTGGGAGAGGGGCGGGCTGGGC